GCGAGCCCATGACCCATGCTGCATTACCAGGTTTCCACACCTGCTGGCTCCTGTCTGTATTTGGCCAACAGAAATCTCTGGCAGGAGACTGGAGGGGCAGTGTTTCTAAGAGCAACTCTGTCTCCTCAGAGCTCAGATCCCACTGGACAGAGCCACTGTGGTTGCTCCAGGGAAGCCAGGTCCCTATCTCTTCCCTTTGACCCTCCAAGTTAGAGGAGGTAATAGCTTTGTGCTGTTGCTCGTCTCATGTTTGCCTCACCATCCCCTGACCTCTCAGTGATTTTGTAACCTGTGCAACCAGTTCCACATATGAAGTTCTCTCTTGAAAACCTCAGACATAGTGCTGGTATGAAACAGAAACAATGGTAAGGGGGACAGCAACATTTGGAACACTACAGAGTATGCTCCCTTTTGCTGAAACAACAGGGCATCTATCCATAAACATGTGTGTATGTGTTACCTGAAGGAGCATACAACAATCATTAGCAGTAGTGGCATTTGTAAAGAGTCAGCGGAGGTCTGACAAGAAATGCAGATTGACTCTCCGTAGTATAAGTGTTAGTGCTATTTTTGAATTTTTTGCCATATGCAGGCATTAAAAAAATTTTTTTTTAAACCTAGTTAAGCTAATGAAAATACTTTGCAATTTGTGCTGTGATTTTTAGTTGAAGAGGGTGTTTTCTCTTGCATGCCTATGTTTGGACCTATGACCCTGAGAGGTTGGCAGGGTGAAGGTCTGAGAATTTCTACCGCATAGAAGCTAAAATGATCATGCTTAAAACCCTCCAGCGCTGCCTCCACTGTCTTCTCATCACTAGTCAACACACTAATTCTACAGAGGTCTGCTTTAAAATCACCCTGGGTCAGGTACTTCTACTGTAACTTATTTCTTTCCATAACTATATAGAGTTGCATATTCATTATTTCCATATAAACCTTGATAAAGGTTTATAATTATATATTTGTATGATTGCTTGATCAATGCTAATAGTCGATGAAAGGCTTACGTTAGTGGATGAGTGACAATGCTACAGTCACACGACCATTGTGTGGGGAACCATCACTAGCACCTACTGACCCCTGGTTCCACACTTTCAAGCAGGTCCTTAAGCAATTGGTGACTTAATCAGAAAGTGCTTCGGCTATACAACCTTGTCTTCCTGTACATTATATATATTTTAAAGCAAGTCCGCATCCATTTCTGTACATAGTCCACAACACCGTAAAAGTCAAATAGCTTTTGTCTGGAAAATTAATACAGTTAAAACTGTGCTTTTAATGAAGAAACTGGCAAACATGAATCCAATAAATGAAAATCAGTAAGCTAACTGCATATTTCTCCTCCAGTCCTTTTGTTCCTCCCCCTATGAAATCAGAAGAAAAAGCTTCATTTTAATAACAGTGTAATAACAGGGGATATGCTCTTGTTCTTCAAGTTAATAACCTTTCCGAAACATAGTGTCAAAAATGTATTTCCAATTTTCAGGTGAGAGCGCTAAGGCGTAGAATGTTCTAGACACTGGGTCGATCGCATCAGAGCCCACTGCATGCTTTGTCTCCCAGTTGACCTACATCGATCCCTGTCCTTAATTTCAGCCATTTCCTTTCCATTATGATGATGCTTATAAATGCCCTTCTGTATCAGGGGCATTGCTACCCTGCTAAAGAGAGAAGGATTTCCCTGTGGGCATTCCCAACACTCAGGCAACATTTCTTTAAACCTTCGAGTGGATGGAATGGGGGCAGGGACAAGCAGAAATACGGGCAGTGAACCTGTGTTTGCTAAAAGAGGTTCAGGGAAGAGAATTCAGGGAAGAGAAGATGAGAATCATCTGATGAGATGTCACCTAGAAAGTCAGCTGGTGCCCAGAAACATAAGGTTAAATTTATGAGACACTCCATTTAATGTCACTGATGGCCTCTGCCAACGAGGGATGTGTCACAGGAAGATGAATGTAGTCTGACACATTAGTGTGCAAACGTCCACCATGGGTTCAGTCATATAGTCCCTGGGTCCATTCCAATTCAAGTTCAAGATGAACTCGAGTTTCAGTGTGTTCAAGGCCTGCTGCCCACACTGGTGGGTCACATGGGAAGACCCAGGGCGGGGCAGGAAAGGGGGGGCTGGCCAGATGGCTCCCAGAATATAACAAATGAAATGACCGATAACTCATAGCTCCTGTCTGTTTCCTGTCAGTGGGTGATGAATAAACCACCTACGGTCAGGCCCTGAAATACAGAATCAATACACAGGCTAATTTGTGATTCCAGATAAATGGTTTCCCAACTTTTCTCAAGATTGCAGCTCATTACCTGTACACGCACACACATACACACCATCAACCACTACTATTACTATTAGTATTTATGGTGTAGTTACAGGGAGCCAGACACTGAGCTAAAAGTTTCAGGCGATACCATAGGAAAATACACGGTTCCTGCTCTCAGGTGTTTATATAATCTAGATTCACCTGGTGCTCATCTACATGTCCCTAAGAGAACCTCAGATAATATGTGGTAGATACTATTTTGACTACTTTACATGTTTTACCTCATTTAATCCTCATAATAACCTTTATAATCCATCCTTTGAGGTAAGTGTGCTTTTTATCCTTAGTATACACATCAAGAAACCAAACAAAAACACAAATGGTCGATAAAACTTGCCTGAGGTCACAGAGCTGGGATGTAGTAGATCTGGGGTTCAAATTTCTGTGTCTGACGCCAAAGATCAGTATTTTTAGGTACTCCCCTAAGACAATGAGAGCTATAACTTAGTTAATATGTCTTATGGGCTAGGCACTATGCTAAGTTATCTTATATGCTTTACTTCATTTCATGCTCACAATGAGTGATTAACCTCATGAAAAAGTGCTGTCACTTGCTCCCTCCCACATTTTTGCAATATCAGTATTATTTTTATCTAACAGATGAGGGAACTGAGACTTAGAGGGACATGAAACTTTTCCAGGGTTAATACTGCAAGATTCAATCCTTGATCGGTTTCCTCCAAGTTTGACGCCTGCATACTGGCATCCTATTGTAGACAAAAAAGGGGCACCATACTATACCTGATGACCTCAGGGGAGGATTGTATGCCAGGCCTTACAAACTCAGAGACCGAACTTAACTGCATAGGATGATCTGAACATAAAATTTCCTAACTCAAAGTGGGTCATGGGGGTAGTTCATCCTCGGCCTGTAGCTTCCTTGACAAAGGCCAGTCTTACCTTAGTAAACCTGCCTGTTGTCTTTTTGCATCTAACATAACATACCTTTGAAGAGTCAGAGTAATCTCCTTTTCCAGAACCCTCTGAGCAACCACCCACCAGAGCAGAAGACCACAGAACCCCTCATTGTTATTTCCTTGCTCAGGTACCCTCTGTATAAGCTGTAAATGTTAATTGTTAACTGTCCTGTCTCCACCAATGTAAAAGAAGTATGTGTCTCTCGGTTTTACTTTTTATCCAATCCCAGAGATTGCCACACTTGGCTTTCTTCCTCCCCCTTAACCTATCACCACTGGATTTCACATAACCCTCCTTACATCTCCTTTTATTACGTATAAAATGACCTGCAAAACTGCCATTCTCCGGGGCAATTTCTCAATCCGTTGAGATGTCGCTTCCCAGCAAGGCAACTGTCATTAGTTTGGCTCAAATAACCTCATAAAAATTCTGTACCGGTTTGGACATTTCTTACATCAACAATATTGTATTTCAAAGAAAATGCCTTCAAATAATATCCTAGACAAACATTACCCTAAGAAAAACAATAAAACTGCCACTTACATAATGTTTCACCACTGACATTTGAATTTACTCGAGTCTCATGGAAAGTCTAGTGTTAGCAGGGCAGGTTGTAGATGATAAAACTGAAGTTTAAAAGCTGAGGGACAGGCCTGGAGTCTCACCCCGGTGTCCTCACTCACTGGCCTTCATCTATTCACTGGTTCACTTAAGACACCAGCACGCTGTTACTTCTGGCATTGGAAAGGTAACAATGAATGAGAGCCTTTGTCTTTTGTAAGTCACAATCCCAGCAGAAGAGCTGACGTTCTTTTCCTCTAAATATTTTCTGCTTGGTCTGTGGATCCACTTTGAACTCCTAGTGCACCCATGTCCACGTGAAAGGGCAGACGCTCTGGTCCCTGGGGGCCATGCTTGCCCGTCCCTGACTCTTCACATTCCATCCTTAAACTTGGTGAGGAGCAGAACTTGCCCTTTTCACGAGACATATACCAACACTAGGCCCGACAGGGCAGTGGCTCTGCAGTGACATTGCCAGCATCTGCAAGCAGAGAACTAACCTGAGAACTAATTGGTGAACTGCACCATCTTGGAAGTCAGTCACTGGGTCCAACTTTTATACAATCGATTTTGGGGAATGGATGGGGAAGGCAAGAGCCCTTTATGAAAGCATCACACTTCTGTTGGCAGCTTGGGGGCAGTGAAACAACCTTAAAGTTCAGTACGTAGGGCGCTGAGGTACCAATAGAACCCTTTGATATTAAGGTGTTGGTGAAAAAAATAGTGGCCAAGGTGTCCCACAGCCTGCAAAGGTTTACCTGCCGGAGGCAGGAAGCGTTTTGCTGCTCATTCTCTCTGACCCTAACCACTTTAGACAACAAGAAGTGAATGAGGAAAAGCCTGGGCTTTGAACCAAACAGACAGAAGTGACAAAAGTTCCCTCTACACTGTCTATGTAACCTTGGAGACTAATGATTGCAGACTCCCTGAACAGTGCTCTGAGACAATGCAGTGCATACATGAGAAAGATGCCTTGACATTGGAACTCTCAGAACTCACAAAGATGGGGTCAGGGCAAGAGGGGTGATAAAGTCTGGGACTCACCCCAGGCTGCGCCCGGATCTTAGCTGAAGGGGTCGCTCTGGGCGGAGGAGCCGGCACAGCGGCTCCCCAGCGTGTGTCCAGCCCTCCCACTGCCGGTCGCGGCTGCCAGGAGGTCAGGCCGCCCGCGGGCGGGAAGGGGCGAGGAAACCTCAGAGCCTCGCAGAGACAGGAGTCCCTTGTCCGAAGCCCAAAGGCCTTTTCCCCGCTTCAGGGGCCTGACACCCCCTCGCCCCACCCTTCACTGCCCATCTCTCCCGGCGATTTTTTCCATCCCTGGCTCTGAAAGTGTTAACCCCGGGGCTGTTTTGTATTGTCCACCGCTCCCGCCCAAAGATCCTAAAAAAAGGTGTCAAGTTTGGGTCCAGATAGGGAACGGACGATCAAAGCCAAGCCGGTACTTCCTGTCGCCCGGGGGCTATATATAACGTGATGACTGCACGGGCTGCGGACAGAGACGCACTGGAGCGCTCGCCCCGCCGCCGCCTCCCAGCGCCTGAGGTTTCCCGGGACCACAATGAACAAGCTGCTGTGCTGCGCGCTCGTGGTAAGTCCCGGCTGAGGGGACACGGCTGCTGGCGCCCCGGGCCGCTGGGAGGGCTGCCTGCCGCCTGGCCGCCGGACCTCGCCGCGGATGGACGGGGACAGAGCTAGCTCGCACCCTGTCCCTGGAGAGATGCGGGGTCAGGTTGGAACAGGAGGCCTCTTTCAAGCTAAACGTACTTCTCTGCTCCGGTGTCCCCTTGACACTGGAAAGTTCCCTCTGGGTTTATGGGGCAGAGAGAGAGGCTCTACAACCTTACCTGTGTGGATGATTTTTATCCACTGTATTTATTGCCTTTCTTCATCTCAGATTGATGCCCCCTTGTAGTTCATACTAGCTTTGCTTAGTCAACTTGGGCGTTATTATTAACAATAAAGTAGTCCTTTGGGATCAGCGTAAGTTGGGAAGAGATGTCAGTCTTTTTAAAATTATTGGAATGAGAATAAAAGGTGTGTGCAGTGATATGATACCATACAACATTAGCCTTATTCCCCACTTAAGCAAATGCCGTGGGAAATTTTGAATAATTGGCACAAGAAAAAAGATCTCACACACACACACACACACACACACACACACACACACACACACATCACTATGCAATTTAACATTTTAATAAATATTTATTATTAAAATGACTTCTTCCAGTTTTTAACTTCAACATAATGCAGAAAATATTGGTGGATTAATGTTAATTATGTTCTAACATACATACAAATAACTGAAATTCAGCACTAAATAGGGCTAAAAGTTATTTTAACACTTTGGAAAAGAATCTCTGTGGCTTGGTTTAGCTTTTTTTTTTTCTTTTAATTTAGATTTTTGACCAATGAAGTTAATAAGATTTGAAGATTATTCTATGACCAGTGACTTATGTCCTTTATGGCACTAAAGTGAGGAATAGATTGAGATATGAATCAGACATTCAGAAAAGGACAGGAAAACCATAAGCTACATGTTGTTTTCAAAATGTTGGAGTAAATGCTTGAATTTCAGCGTCCAAAGCACAGTGAATGGAAAAGGCTAGAAGTCTTCCAATTAGTTTGTGGGACAGACAAACATAAATAAATAGCGAAGTCACTAAAGAAAAGGTAGGTTGGACGGTAGTCTACATATAAGTACGCTAATCTTATCTACTGCCATATATATATATATGTATATATATATATATATATATATATATGTATATATACACTCCACCAATATGGATACTAAGGCGATCTTTTTAAAACTAAACTTTTATTAAAACATAACACACAGAGAGCTGCACAAATCATAATGCCTAATGAAGGTTTTCAAAGTGAACACTCGTGAGCTAGCACCCAGACCAAGCACTACTATGTAATCAGCACCCAGAAGCTTCCTAGGTATCCTCTCTGTCACTATGATGTTCATGGACAGAGTAATCAATATTCAGACTTCTAACACCACCAGAGATGAGTTTTGCTTGTATTTGAACTTTATATAAATGGATTTTAAGCATTTTTTTATGTCTGGCTACTTTCACTTAAAATTCTGTTGTGAGGTCATCATCTCCATGGTTGCCTGTGCAATAATTTGTCTGTTTTCATTGCTGTATAGTATTCCATTGTACATGCACATCACAATTGATTTACTTATTCTAATTTTGGGCTTGTATAAATAATCCTGCTATTAATATGGGGACACTTTTATTTTTCCTAGTCTTTAGTATTCTGTCAAAGATTTAATTAATGATATATGTATTGTCAGTGACTTTTAAATTTCAGAATTTCCACTAAATAATATATGTACCTAATTAGTAAGTGTTCCTAAGTAGTAAGTGGACAAATGTTTTGATATGTGGTCTGTATGGGAAGATAGATATGTATGTAGATAATACAATTATAAATGACACAGCATTATCAAAAGAGAAAACTGTGCCTTGAACATAGTAAATACTTGAAATAGGAAAGATTTCCTTTTCCCTTTCTGCAGTTTCTGAGACTGCTTTTATTTTGTAATTGATTGGAAATGGACACTCTCTACTTACATGTAAAGAGCCCAGATGCCCTTTTGTAAAGGGCAGTTCTAGGAACTGCAAGCATTACAGGTATTTAACGCTTTGTACCAGGAATGCCACTGAGTGCTAGGGGCAGGGTGGAAAACAAGGCGAGTACCATTCCTATCCCCATGGACCTCACAGCCCAGTGGAGGAGGCAGATATTGGAGAAGTAATTGTACTGATAACAACAGTAACTAAAGGGGACATATTGGGTGACTTGGGAATATAAAAGATCCTGCCCTCTAGGACCTTATAAGGGAAGCTGCAGTGCACTGTTATCATTTGGACCAAACTTCAAATACCAGTCGCACCACTTATTTGATAAATGCATCTCTTTTGAGTTTGAGTTTTTTCTTGTTAAAGTAGAGATAATGACATGGAGACATGCTAGATAACCACATGAAGCTCCTGAGTCATATTAATGCCAGCTTCTAGCATTATGCTCACAAATAACCGTAGGACAATGTAGAGCCAAGTGAGTTATGTCAACAAAGTGCTGATGATGCTCTGAGGAGGAAGACAGGGCCACGGGCTATTTATTTGAAGGAGGGGTAGGATGTTTCATTGTTGGACATAAAACCAAGGTGTCCTGAACCTAAGACGTGGGAGAAAATGAAATTTGGTGGCAAAGTAGAATTCTAGAGGCTTTGAGGGGAGCAAAGTATGCTGATAGGCAAGCAGTGAGGGGGTGGTGTGGTCCTTAAGACTAACTCCACGGTCCTGTGCTTTCTAGAATGCTCACCAATGGAATTAAGCAGAGACCTGCTCTGCAAGGTAAGGGAGTCACATCCCCAAGTTATTTCTTTCCTGGTTGCCCAGGAGCCACCTGATACACTGGGAACCCCCTGGCCCACGTCTAGATTTTAACTGGTGGCTGAAAGTTTCCATCACAGAGTGCCAGAGCCATCCACTGGCCTTCTCGATACTAAACTCTGAATTAATGTTACCATGACGTGTATTAACCGCCCTACTGGTGGAGGGAGTGGGGGTGGGGCAAGGGGTACTGGGTAGTCGGTGTTTATTCTCCAGACAGTGGCCTGACTGATCTGTTGGACCTCCTTTAGGAGATATTCTTCCAGGTTTTTGTTGTTTTGTTGTTTACTTTGGTTTCCTTCCCCTCCCGCAGTGGTTGCGTGTATTTCTCAAGCCTATTTATTTGTTTATTTATTTGTTTCAAGAGAACGATCACGGTGAGTTTCTAGGTGAATCTCACCTATACTGAATCCAAAACAATCCTGATCCCTGTCCCTAGCAACCTTCCTGGCCTCTGTCACCTAGCAACCCTCAGCACAATTCTTAATTTCATCTGGTCTTTAATTTTACTTCTTAGGCTTAAACCACAGTTGTCAAATTCCATTGGTTGGGAAGAAGGCATTCTGTGCCAGATGTTTTATCCACTTAGTTCTAGAAGGAGAACTACTAAGGGACACTAAACACACATTCACACATTCTTGCTCTCCTATCCACTCACTTGCCTGCTGAGTTTTTCTCTAAGCAATCCTCAGGTCCCCTGCCTGCATGTTTCCTTGTTTCCTTTTCTGAAAGCTTTCTGTGAAAAGTTTTATGCACATTAACATCTCATTAACCAATAGCATTTCCTTTAGCTTGAATTTCTCCTTTGTAGCCAAAAGAGGAAGAGAAATGAGAGAGGGAGAGAGGGAGAGAG